CCCCAAAACCCCAAAACCCCAAAACCCCAAAACCCCAATCTAAAAGAGAAGGAATTAATAAAATATATTTGTGGGTAAGCAATGGGTTAATCTGAGCATAATGAAGACGAAGGTACAATATATTTTGCCTGAGTCGCAGTTGATTTTAAGCAAGTGAAACTAGGATTTTGCAGGAAGATTTTGTTACAACATAAATATTGGATTTATATTTTAATGTAATACTTTATAAGCTCTTTAGGTTCTTCTTGTTCCAAAAATTGATTGCTCAAATTATATTTCTAATTTGAACCTTTCTCTATAGATTTATCTCAAGTACGGCAGAAGGAGTTATAGGGGAGGAGCAACGGCTTGTTTTTATAAACTAGAAATAAACATATTTCCTTACTGATCGAACTCTGAGTTCCTCCGTAATCTGAGTTTTTCCTTGAATGAGATCCTAACAAATATTAGCTCTTCTTAAGTTGAAATGAATGTAAATTTGCCGTACTTTGAGAGATGCTGTGAGCATCTTCGTTATCATGACCGATGATCTGGTATTCGTTTTTATTCCCTAAGAATCTGCCCAAACTATTTTTAATTTTAAGAGGTTTCATAAAACTTTAGTGACATACCTAGTAACCATACTTTTTCCCAATGGCATTTCCTCTTTGCTGCTTCTACTAAAAGTTAAGGACTTTGCTTGGTGAGATCTGCGATAATCAATACTTTGACAGCTGGATTTAGAGTGGCCAGATTTTAGCCCTGGATTTGATCAGTTCTCTTTTCTACTAAGTTTTATTCGATTAGGAGCCCTAAAATTAACCTGCGATGTATATACATGTGCTTATAAATCTTCTTCTTTAATTTAATAATCTTTTTCTTCAGATTAGTTTGGCTCCTCTCATATAATTCATTTTCTTTTATATCTTCTTGGAATGATTTCATCCTCTTTCTTCTAACCTTGGTCATATCTCCACTCTGGGGTTCTTCTCTAGGAGGCTAAATACGATATATAGATCTTAAATTGAAATGCTTGACTACAAGGCACAAAAGAATAAGCTAATACTTCAGAATAATCAGATAGCAAAGGAAATCAAGGATAAAAATATGCAAGCAAAGCAACGCATTCAGAAGGAAATAATGAAGGTAATTGCAAAGAGTTAGGAATAGAAAGAGCAAGCCCGGAGACTTAAGGAGGAAAGAATCCACCAGATTCTAAATGATCTTGACAAGATAAACTCAAAAGAAATTCAGCGAGAGATAGAAAGTAGTAAGAGAAGAAGCAAAAACCAGACTGTGAGAAAGACAAAGCTTGAAAAGTTCCAGTCAGATAAGCTTAAAATAGGTAAGAAAATGTCAATAACAAGTAGTGAAGATTAACTTTGATATTAAGAACACCAAACCACCAGTTGCTGAGAGAAAGAAGTAACATAAAGAGTGCAAGCCTAATGAATATTAAGAAAATGATTAATAGAATGTGCATCGTTGATCCAGATATAGTGAAGGAGTTCTGAGACTCATTGCAGAAATAACAACGCTCATAACATGATAAAAGATCACCCTGAGCTTGAACTTGCTATTTCAAATTTGCCTTTAAGCTTAAGGGATATAGCTATGGGTGAAGGAGAAATGGTTGATGATTCCTCTTCGAAACTTTGAAAATATTGTAAACATACTCCTAAATAGCAAGCCTCAGTTTTGCCAAAATTGAAAGGATAGCAAATCTCTTAATTTTATTGCTCCAGATAGCATAAAATCATTGAAAGCTGAAAAGAAAGAATACGGGAGGTTATCAATACCTAAAATGTTAAAGAAGCCTAAAGGCGAAAGAAATAATGGCTTGAAACTCAGTTCAATAAAGAGACATAAGAAGAACAAGTCTATGAGAGCCGGGCTTAATGATGATCTTAAGGCAGACTTTGACGTATCAGGAAAGGCAAGAGTAAATAACTTCGATGTAAGATTAGTATACTGATTTAATAGAAGATAAATTCTTCTAATAAAATATGCTCCACAAATAGAGGCCCCAAGAAATCACCTCACATGGAAGAGTTAGTCAAAATTTTATTTTTAGGTGTAAAAATATTTCTGTAACTCTTGAGCCACTCGATCAAAACATTAGAAATAAAGGCTCAAGTAAGGTTTAATTTAACTCTTAGTTACAGTCCGGAAGTTTAAAGGTGCAAAGAAGCCCAAAAGAAGTAGTGTATCAGTAATGATAGGAGAAAATAAGCCAGAATCTGATCTTGTGCTTCCAAAAATAAAAGGATTATAATCCTTTAAAGGCTCTAAGAATTGCTAAAAACTTACCATGTATGAGCTCATATAAGATTTTTTGAGAGTAAAATCATTTTTATTCTGGATTTTAAACTGAGAATGAGATTTCAGCATCGCTGAACTTATATCCTTTTATGAAATGGACCATTTTTCTTTGATCTGCCCTTCTTCTCACGAGATTCGAGAGGATCCACCATGGTCGAATAGGAATTAAAGCAACGGTCTTTTGAAACACTGAATGACTGAGTCTTCCTCATTCTTTCTTCTTGATCTAATATAAACTTAGAAATTACCATTAATCTCCTTATCATCAGAGTCACGTTTCTTCGATATTTTTCCGTTAGCAGCAAGAGTTTTGCTTCTCATGAAAATCTTCTTGTGGGGTAACTCGACTTCCTTTGGAATCAATAATTTTCTCTTAAAGGCGCTTTTCTTGTCTCTCAAGAAGGAGCTAGTGTCATTTATATGGAGGCCAAGGTTAACATTGACTGTTTTATTTTAATCCCTCCATTCTTTCCAGAAGCTCTTGTCCATAGACTGCATACCTATCTTTTTGTGTATACCCTTTATTCATCATTAATTTAGAGAGCCAAGACATGCAGCTACTGCTGTATGCAAGGGGTTAAAACCTACCAGGGCTAAAGTATGAACTGTTTTGCTCCATATTAGAAAAAATGTTCAATTAGTTTGGTTATTTAAGGGGTTTTGGGGTTTTGGGGTTTTGGGGTTTTGGGGTTTTGGGGTTTTGGGG